GCGCGCGCGCGCGAGAGAGAGAGAGAGAGAGAGGGGGTCACATCACAGTGCACGGTCACGTCTTAACTGTGGCTTGTGTACTGCAAACACATACCAGCTTCATCACTGTGTCTGTCACCCGACTGTTCCCCTTTCGGGCTCTGTCTTTACATTTATTTTGAAAGATGAAGCTCGCGATTATGGTAAGGGGCGTTACATTTCCGACGAGTGCTTGTGGTGTTCGGCCAATCACAATGCACTGGGTCAGCTGGCCAATCAGAGCAGACTGCGCTTGTCGGAAGGAGGGACTTTGTAGAAAACTAAGCGTTTGAGAGAGGCGGGGCATAGAGGACCTACAATAATGTACAGTATTTGAAAAATAATGTGTTTTTTTGAACATTAAAGCATGTCAACATATTCTGATACACCAAATACACAAAATAATGATCTTTAAAAAAGCATCATATGACCCCTTTAAAATAGCTGTGCCCTTTATAACATCTATCTGAGTTATCCCAGTCTCAATGCAATCTCATTCAGTAGTATGGAATATATTTCCAAACTGCAATAAGCATAATTATAATTATAAGCAGGATTTCATGACATAGCAGAGCTTGAACAAGATTTGTTTATTTTGCCATAGACTGTATTAACGCATTCAGTGGCAAAGGATATCAGTAAGCTCATACAAACTGCCTGCACAAGCCACAAGCTGGACAAATGGAGATGAAAGGCTTTAAAAGATGGCTTTCCTGATGACAGTTTTGTTGAGAGATCTTTAATTAACCTTAAACTAAATTTACCAGGGTGAACTATTTCTATTGAATCTTTCGCCCAAGTCATTTGGAATTATAGAATGCAAATGCTGCAGAGAGTCGGGCTGATGGAATGAGTCTAATTTAGCAGCACACCAGCGAGTCAGTTGCTGGGCTGCTGGAGGATTCTGCCCCAGCTGGAAACTGAATTCCATTTGACAGATTCTCAATGCCAGGGAGTACAAAGTCATATGCCTGGGCTGACAACTCAGGCCGGTTGCGTTCTTGTATTTTAAATTGGCAGTGACATCTTGTTTAGGCATTAGTAGGCAAAACTGGAGCACTTTCTGGCTGAAGGTGCTCTAGTTTTGGATCGCTTCCTCACTGTTTTTTAATTCTTTCCTCCAGGTGACCCAGCTGTTGTTGAGCAGTAACATGGTGGTAGCTCTCTTAGAGGGGAACAGCAGGGATAACACCCCCCTGCATCTTGCTGCCCGCAACGGTCATAAGGACATCATCAGGTCTGCTTCTCACTAAACCCTTACTTTTAGATCCTGTTGTGTTTTCCTACATCTTCCTTTCAGTCTTTTCAGTCAATTTGCTTTTCAAACTGATGTCATAGTCTCAGAGGAGAGGAACAGTAAGTTTGTTTAAAAACCTACTACTGACATAGGTAGGTGTTTTTAGCATTCTTAACCATCATGGAACCTCGTAAATGGATAATTTGGAACCGTTACAAAGACAGCAAGTCCCTGTTCAATACCAAGGGCTACAACAGAGTTTGATGTTAGCATGTTGCTAATCTAATAGCTTGATTATCTAATAGGTATAAAAAAAATACATTGTGCACATAAACATTGGGTAAAATATCCAGTTTTTAATCACACCAGTTTTATTCCATTTTTACTGTTCTTGATCAGTTTTATCAATTATTTTCAGTGTTAAGTGGGAAACAAGTATATTTATAATTATTGTTTTTTACTGTTTATTTGTTTATTTATGATTAAAATTTCTATTGTATTCTAAGTTAAATTAAATAAGCATTATATTATTATTAAAGGGGTCATGAACTGGCTTTTTTAAAATGATTTCTTATTATTTATTATCTGAGGTCCACTTATGACGTTCGCGTGGTTTTTACGTGGTTTTTACATTCAAAAACATAAAAAAATCAATAAGTAATAAGCTATTTTCTATCCTGGTTTTGAGGCCCGCTCGAGAAACTCTTGGGTTTTTATGGGCGTGCCGCATTGAAGACTTTGAAGTAAACGCCCACTGCTCTGATTGGATAACAGTTTTGCATAATAAACTGACTTTCTGTGTGTCTGTTTGACAAGCTACGTCCTTCATAGTTGGAGCCTTCTGGGACTTTGGTTAGACACGTACACATAATTAGGACATATCAAGCGATCTCTAACAAAGCAATAGTGACACATAGTACAAATATTTTTTACTCGCATAAGTGTGCTGCGCCATTCCTGTCGGATCCAATATAGATGGCACGGCATTGCTTTTTAATCTCAGTCTCTCTGCAAATCCATCATCGACCTGAATCCGCGGCGAAATGAAGCGAACAAACACTCAATGTATTACTCACGTGAGCTGAAACTTAATTAAAAATAAAGTTCAACCACGCATTCCTAATTGAATCCGAAGGAAGGTTATGCAGCGACTGCACAATATTTTGCGATCTTCAACGGCATGTTTATTTCTTGGTTGCTCGATTCGGTTTAGCGCCACTTATGTTATTTCCCTACGATGTCATGCGCGAATCAGTGGGCGGGGCTACAGAATTAAACGTTGATATTCTTCTGTGGAGGCGGTAGGGGTGTGCGATATTGACAAAAAATTATATCTTGATATTTTCTGGGATTTTATCGATAACGATAATTAGATGATATTTTGCTGAGTGTGCTATTGTGCTGGTACCTTAAGGACTGCCGAAGACAGCTGACTCCTAATGTTTTTAATATTCTTCATATTCTGTGTGGTGGTCAGTTCATACTGATAGAAATTAATCTTTTCC